GGGATAGATAATTTTAAATATGACAAAATTTTCTGTTTTTTAAAGTGGTCTATCAATTAATAATACTTACGTGCTACCTAAATCGGGGGTGATAAATAGCATTATCCAATGAAAAGTGCTACATGTACAACAACATGTACAGTCCTCTCACATATGAATGGTGGGGCCAACAATTATTTTAATCGTGAATCCTACACATATAAGAAGGCTGTCATTTTTACGGCCCTCAGATGTTGTACAAGTATTTTTTTCTTATCCAATTGTAAACTTGTCAACTTTTCCATTCCAATTAGCTAACAACTTTAGAATGTGTGTTTTTGCTCCACGTGTAGATATCACTTATTCGATAATAAAAAATTCTCCACCAATTTTCTTCTAGATAAAAAAATTGGATTTTTTCGTTGGGCAGTCGGATTCACATCTCTTACAACTAACATAGTCCTCAGTCCTTGGGGTAGAATCATCAAAATCCCACCAGGAATGTTGAGATGTTAACATGTTCTCACTTGACACCAATTTATTTTTTGATCAGAGGATTGAAATCTTTTTTTAACAAAGTGTTGTAAAATGATAATAGTTGCACAAAGGGATGGAGAAGAAACAAATAACAAGAAACAAAAAATGAATGTGAAGATGAAGGCTCGAACACATTATCATTGTCTTCAAATGATATTTGCTCATTTCAAATAGAATTTAATGCATGAAGGGATCTTGACAAATGATTTGCAGGATTTATCAAACCTTGACAAGGATTTGACACTCAAATACCATTAAAACCCTCCAAAACTTGAAAATGTAAAAAAGGGATTTGAATATGGGAAGAAAATGAATTTTCAATACTTTGAAATGATGAAAATGATTTCAATTATGGCTTTATGATTCTAGGTATTTTTCAATGTTATTTCTTGATCCACAACCACATATATATAGTCATCAAAGAATGTCACACGAAGTAGAGTCAAAAATTCTAGAAAAGCCACCAGAAATTCAAATGTCAAAAGCCATGCGGTCGCATAGATCAAACACATGCGGGGCTGAAATTTCTACAAATGCCAATGCAACCGCATGCCTAAATGGTCTACGCAGTCGCATAGGCCATGGTTTTCCCCTCAATCTCCACTTTTCATTCCACATTCGTTTATTGATTTTTGAACAACCATTCAACACAAAGTAGGTGACATTCATGTGGAATCCACATTGCCTTCAATTCACAATTATTATCTCTTTCCCACTCTTTATGTCTCATCTTCCCTATAGTGTTATCCTCTTCAGCAATCCATATAATTTGATTATGCTGATTAACTTTGATTTATCCAGATAATTTCCAGACTCCCCACTATCAGGACATATTCTTCAGTTAAGATAAAAAATTCTATGCTACAATTAGAACGAATATTTGCTTGATACTGTTGAAGATAAAAACTTAATTCCCTCTATAAACTTTAGTAAGATCGAATATTTTCTTGACACCATTGACGATATAACCCAACTTCCTTTTATAGCAATTTAAATTTAAATTTTTGCATGAAGTAGTTTAGAATAGTATTAGGCTCGATTTCGAAGTCTCACTGCACCTCTATAAAAATGAAAATTGAAATGTAGGATGTTGACGAAAAAAGGAATTCAGACGGCTTATTAGCGTAATTGTTTAATAATTTAAAATTTTAAATAAAGCAGTTCAATATGATATATTTGACCAAATAAAGGTCTTAATTTATCCCACCACTACGTGCCCATTCGACTATGAAATTTCAAGTATGAAAAAAATGAAAATTGGTCTGCAATTTAGTTGCGTGTTTTAAAGATTAAGTCCCCGTTTGAGCCATATTATTGTAAAAATGAGAATAAAAAATATAATCGTTATGGGCCCTACACAAGATATAAAAAGTCAAATATGATGACTTGATGTAATTGATAACGGTCATATTTTTCATTTTAATGAGGAAATAATGGGCTCGAACAGGGCCTAAATTCGTCACATTTCTACTGGCGAATTTTTAAATGCAGTACTTCAATAGCTAAATCAATGTTAAACAATTATCGAAATCACTTGATAGACATGTTTATTAACCAACACCATGTTGGAATAATGTGTTGTGTATGGGCTGTTTTGACATGATTTTGAGGCCTCGATTTGCTAATTTCTTCTTTTCGGTGACTCAATAATTTCCCTTGTACTGTTAATTTTCAATTTTTTTCTTTTCAATATATGAAATATTATATTCTGCGAATTATTTTATAACACACCATGCAAGTTTAGACGTTTATGGAATAACATGTCAAGTTTCTTTAATGCATGAAATTTAACAATGGTGGTGCCCAAGCCCTACTTTTTGTCTCCACTAATATCAATCTTTCTACTCTATAAATATCTAAAGTACAATGCGTTTTCCATCACAGTCATTTGCATTAATTCTAATCATTTCTAGATTTCTTGATTATTAAGTTTTCATCCTATATATATATATATAAATATCATGGCTTCTAATCAAGACGCCAAAATTTCTCTCCCTCCTGTCAGTAATATGGAGAGACAAATGAGCCTAGAGCCAGAAGAAAAGGAATTCGACTACTCAAAACGATCCCAATGGCTCCGGGCTGCGGTTTTGGGGGCCAACGATGGGCTAGTTTCGACAGCATCATTAATGATAGGTGTTGGAGCTGTAAAACAAGACATCAAGGCCATGATTCTAACAGGTATATTGGATATTCCATTATACTACATGTACACAATGATTTATATACACATGATGTGGTGAGGTTTGATTGGATTAGAATTTCTTCAATTCTTTTTATTTACACCTCATCTAACTCTTCATATACAAGCAACATTATTCTTGGATATTTGACTCAAACAAGGCTATTTGGCTGAATCTGTGTTTCCTCTCTTCTATTTGCTTTTGTTTTCATTGACATTTATTTAAGCGTGGCGATAATTTTTCCCATAAACAGGGTTTGCTGGATTAGTGGCCGGAGCATGTTCCATGGCCATAGGTGAATTTGTGTCGGTTTACTCTCAACTCGACATAGAAAAGGCTCAAATGAAGAGAGAAAAGGAAAGGGTAGTTGGTATAGAAAGTTTAAAAGATGAAGGAGAGAAAGAGGGTTTGCCTAGTCCAATACAAGCAGCTGCTGCATCAGCCCTAGCATTTTCAGTGGGTGCAATGGTGCCACTGTTGGCTGCCTACTTCATAAGAGAGTACAGGGTTAGGATGTGGGTGGTGGCCGCTGCTGTCAGCCTTGCTTTGGTGGTGTTTGGATGGTTAGGGGCAGCGATAGGGAGAGCACCGGCAGCCAGGTCCGCAATAAGGGTTTTGATTGGTGGTTGGTTGGCCATGGCCATAACATTTGGTTTAACAAAGTTGATCGGTTCTAGAGAGCTATAAATTAGAAAGAATTAAGCTAATTGTACTAAAATATTTTGACAGAATCAAGCGTTGAGGTGCATGTCACCTTAACGTCTGTCAAAAAGTTGTCAAAAAACTGTACAATCAGCAAAATTGAATTAGAAATAGCCAAGTATGTAAATGCTTATTTGCATTTGGAGACTTGTTATATGGCACCTAGCCAAAGGGAAGAAACTTTAATGTCCTCTCATCTATATTTACGTAGAAATTTAAAGAGAGAGTATTTAACAAAAGAACAATGCTTGTCTGCCAAAAATTGTATGACAGAAAAAATGACAAAATATGTGTTGGCACGATGTGATATAATGAAAAAGTTCACTGTTTTTTAAACAGTCCAATGATAGGTTGTCATGTGACATTATGTTAAAAATTATGTAAATCATTATGTTTGTGAAGGATGGTTGTTAACAATATATGATTTTTTTCCCTTTTTTTAATTCAAATAAATTGAGTATGGACGTGGAATTGGAATCATAGTAGAATATAATTGAACAACAAGATGGCACGTGACTAAGGCTTTATGAAGACAATGTTTCTCTATAGAAGACGTTCTTTTTAGGCAGAAATGTAAGGCAAAATATCCATTTATTCAAGAAAAACACTACAAATTGTTGGCGAATAAAAAGTGTTATACTATTACTTCGACTAATTAAATGCTCATTCAATGTAGCAAAAAATCCTAATAAACGTACCGCTCTATTTTCATTTTGGAGAATAAGATAACTTGAGCCACAATCGTCATCTTAAAATGGTTCTCTAATATCAAATAAAATGGTTGCATCGGAGCCATACTAAAATCTAAGACTTTGAACTACCCGTAGGAATCGCATTGCACTTCCTACTCTGCAACTACCTCCGTGACTTCAACTGAGAAGAAGCCTACTATCTACCGAGACTGTGCACGCAAGCCATTCCCAAAATGGTCAAGAGCACAACCCTAATCCATCCTTATATCCATACTAGTTCCCATATCTACAAGAACACCAGCAGCCACTTCTGTCTACCCAAGAAAGCTAAATCGATTGCCAAGTTCACGGGAGAAACCCCATATTCATCATATCCCTAACAGTCGCCCCACCTTGCAGGAAACTGTTCAATGAATCCTACCGGCCAATATGTTTTATCCTAGCATGCTAAACTCGATTTATAGCCAATGCACTAGCACTCAGTCATATTATCATACCATGTTATAGGCACTAAGGAAAGTGAGAATTTGATCTCATGTAGTCCATGTCAATTCACAAGACACTTGATCCCCAGAAAAATTGTCCCGAGTCTTTTAGTGCGAACATCTGATGAAGTTTGAGGATAAATTTCTCCAAGAATCATATTATCAACATATATCAGTGACATGGGATTTGGGTCTTGTTTCTAAAGAAGATGGAGGCGTGACATTTCGAATTGACAAATCTCAAGCATAGTAATATTATTTCTTTTAATCTATTATACTAATCTCCAGGAGCTTTCTTTACTCTGTACAAGCCTTCTGTAGTTCATAAACATGAATGTGATTTCTTTTATCTGCAAAACCTTCGGGTTCTTTTATCTCTTGAATGAAGGCTTTATGTTAGAACACTAAGTATTTTTTGTGTTGATTATTATTTGTTTTGGTTCATTT